CAAATAATTAATAGTAATTGTTAAAATAGTAAATATTTATTATTTAATATATTAAAATAAATTTATAAATAAATATTTTTAAAAGTTATAATTATTTATTTAAGAAATTATATGTTAATAAATTTAAAATTAAAATTAATAACTTCAATAAAATTGATAGTACTAATAACCCCAGCTGTCACATTCTTGTTTCGGTCAAAAACAGTCGGCATAAATGAAACATCAAATCCTGGGATAACAATTAACAAACCCTTATAATATCAGCATTAAGAGAGCCCACATTTGTCCCGCACTCGTTGACTTAACGCCATCCACTTGCAGGGATGTACCTAAGATTAAAAGAAATTGGAATCAAATTTCAAGTTCCCATCCTCTTCTTCCCAAAAAAGAAAAAAAAAATTTACACTGTTTAAAAAAAAAAAAGGCCCACATTTGGTAGCAATTATATTCACTCGAATTAATAAGTTGTTGGTTGTTGGTTGTCAGTAAAACTTTTATTAAGATTAAGGATAGCATCCGCCCGCCATGGTACTCTACTACTATCTGAGTATGTGCTTGAGATGAGTTTGGGGACCATATTCAGAAGGACCCGCAATCTAAAATAACAGTGCTGTGAAGATGAAGAGGGTTTTTTTTTATTTTAAATTTTTTTCAAACGATAAGAAATTAAGGAATTAAATGAATAATTATAATAATATTACAGTGAAAACTTAAACTCTTGACAAAGAAGCCAAAATCATTGGTGCAACTTCATAGCGGCTATTGCCGCAAGTGCAAGATGGAGAGGATTAATATATCCAATAAGTAGTTGCACAGCAACTTAACGGTCAGTCTCAATAATTGCTTGCTGAAAATGAAGATTAACAGCAATAATTAAACTGTCGGCCAATGCCCACAATCCAATGGCCCTGAGAGTCCCCAAAAAGACTCGTCTCTGTTAAGTTTTACCCAGTTCATCAGAGGAGTCCAAAAGATGAGCCGAGGTGGTTTAGTAATTCTAGCTTTTTCTATATGTGGATATTTTTTTATTAAACTCTAAATTTATAATTAAAAATATAGATAATTTTGCTATTAGATTATAGAACCAATAGTGTTTAGTGATCTTATTTGAATATTGGGAATCTGAAGCTCAAAATTCCACTACTCTTATCATTGGATAATCATGAATTCTATGAATATCAAACTTACGTTGAGGATACATAACATAATTCCGCTGATTCCAAATGGAACTGATAGCAAAGCAAAAAAATGCAAGCCCACAGAATGCTAAATAAAGGAGTAGGGGACATGCTGGTAACCTGAACCTTAAGCCACTCCTGGAAGCTGAATTTATTTTGGTCATTAGAGATGCTTCCTGGAAGATTCTTATTAAGAACATTCACCACGTAGGGCATTCACGAAATAAATGCTCAATAGATTCAGTGTGAGTCTTACAAATTCTGCATATGGAATCTTGAACCACACCAATCTTGCGAAGAAAATCAAGGGACTTAATATTTCCGTGGGACAGCAACCACTGAAAATTGTAAATCTTCGGAAAAGTGGGAAATTCTCTAATCTATCTGCAGTCACCATGAGCTTGTGAATTATTAAGAACTAAAGCGAGTTTTTATGCACCTTGAAATTAATTACTTCTTGACCAAATGTTCCTATATCAACCTAATACATTTAAGAAAATTAATCTTTTGGGTACCAATAGCAAAACTTGAACTTTGAATCTAATTTACAAAAGGATATTTGTTTATCAATAAACACAACCATTGGGTTCTGTTACGGCCATTGGTTCGAATGTTTCACAGGGTTTTCAGTTTCAAACGAGCAATTTGATGGGCCTGTTCTGCTTCAGAGTTATGACCATGGCCCAATACATGGTTTTATGCTGCTTGTGTGCAGGTGTCACATAGGACTCAAGTTTTGCATTTTGGTGTTTCATCTTCCATTGGTGGCCG